AGGAGCTAGCGGACTGTAAACAAAGCAGAGAACTTGCATGATCTCACGCACGCTTGCTTAGGCTACTTCAGAGCTGTAAAAACTTAAGACCATTTGGAGCTTTTGGGGTAATGTTTTTAACAAATAATTGGGTTGTGTGTTTTATAGTGAAATAACATTTCACCTGGTGCAGCCGTGTGTTTCACTGATGTGTTTTGAACAACAACAGATGTCAATAGCACAGACGAATAATCTAATCCAGATTGGAAACTGTAACAGACATTAACTCAGTAGTAGAGGCAGTAGAGGCAATTCATTGTTTGGTTAATCTCTGTATGGGGAGTGTTGAATATAGTCCACTGTTAATATAGAAAACGATCAGCCTTATCAATTAGAACCAGTGTTTGAATCTTCCCTTATGGTTTTTTTTTTTTATACAAATAGCTTTTAATGTATAGGCTACTACATATTATATCAATTTTTATCTAAAAAAATTCACCTTGTTATGACATATTACTATACATATTCCAAGCATGACATTTGTAGTTTTTCCAATGTTACCTTTTTATTTATCTTCACTGTCTCTCCTTGTTTGTGCTTCAGACAGCCTATGGTGTGGGTGTAACAGAAGTTGGTATTTGTCGTTTTGTTTATTTTTGTTATTAATATTGGCTCTGGGAGCTTTGCTTTCAAAGATAACGCGCTGTCATTCAAAGTCCTTTTTGACATGCCATGGCAGGAAAAGAACATGTAATTAATAACATTAATGATGTGTTCCAGTTCCAGGGCTCTGCTGCTGTGCTTGATTGATCATTTTAATGGCTAATTGCTACACTGACAAACAAGACAATCACACAAACATTGCAATACTCTTCCATTTGATTGACTAAAAACCTGAGAGTATCACTTTTGACAACATATGATTTTGTCATTCTGAAGTTTCTGGACACTCTTACACATACTGTACTCACACATGCACATGATGAGCCAGTATAACTCAGTATTATGTGAATGTATAATGATAGACCGAAGCAATGCCCATCATGTCTACTGTACTGACTTTGCTAGCTGAGGAAATTCTGTTGTCATGGTTACCTCTAGAGAGGGCAGCTCTTGTCTCCGTGGCAACTGGGAGGGGTGAGGATGCTCCCAGCCTGGGCACTGGCGTCTCACTGAGTGTGTGTTAGAGATGGTTTAGGGGATGCATCTGCATTGTTGTTAGAGCTTCACTTACACAGATGATTTTGTAAATGAATGTTTGATATTACATGTTTGTGGAGAACCTGCAGGACTGTGCTTTGTCATGCTTGGCAGGTTTAATTAAATATTAAATTAATGTGGCTATGTAGGCACAAACAGGAATAGATTGTTAGAGAAAGGACACACATTATTATATTACAACAGATGACAGATGCTTATGATGCAGTTAGTGATATTTATTACACTCTAGCGCCATTCTGAATTTTTTATTAACAATGCTGAAAGAAATAGAAGCACTGACCTTCATGCTTGGCTACTGTTATTTTTATTTACTTTGACTTTTTTTTTCAGTTTCTGTCTCATCCTAAACGTGACCTTCATGTAACTGTAAGCTGTGTAAGCAGTTTTTCAGGCTTGCACAGCATATTCAAAACATTTCCTTATCAAAGCGAGTGGCGAAGGAGGAGTTATAAAACAATTTCTGTAGGAAGCTGGCTGCCACAATCCTCCTTTTCTCTTCAACGTTAAGTGTTTTCCATTCAGAAACCCCACATGTCAGAGTCCTGTTGGTATAAGTGTCACCATAGCAACCTGCCAGTTGCAGAAAGATGATTAGAGCAAGGTCTTGCATAATGTGACTCTGCAGCTCTGAGGGGAATGTGAGGATATTATCACACAGGCTTGACTGTAGTAATAGGGGCTTTGTGCTGTGTTGAGAGAAAACAGTGCTAACTCTGTATGAGGCTGTGTGAATGTCTTTTTATGGCTTTCTAGTGGTATTTCCTGTTCTATTGTGAATCACAGTGCTTGATTTGTCCATGATTTCAGTCTTCATAAATTAACCTGACAGGAAGTTGCAGATAGTCAAGGCAGACAGGAATAAATGAAAAGCAGAGTAAGAAATTAGGATATATTACACTTTTACTTAGCTCTACACAATGCATATCTTACTAGACCACATATGTGAATTGTGCAAACATTTGTGTGAAATAAACCTTATAGTGCAACTCCAGCTATAATTTGCATCAGATTAAATACTGTAGCTCTTTCCAGAAGACTTTGAAATTATTAGGAAATTGTGGACCTAGAAAATAAAGCTTTATTCCTCAGTTCAATCATGAAAACTATTTGATGAAAAGCTGCCTTTGTATTATAGTTTGACTTTGCACAATATAGCCGTATGGTGACCGTATCAAATAGGTCAGTGAATATAAAAAATGATTACAAAATCCCAGATGACAACCCATTCTGGTGACTAGTTATCTGACAAAACTTGACAGATGTCTAGCTCAAATGGTCTACAGAGGAGGTCAGGGGTGAAGCATCTGGGATGAGCCAATCCAGGGAGTGTGATGAAATGATGATGTCATAAAAACTGGTGCTTTTCTGAAAAGTTTATTTATATCAGTACTGGGAACTGCAATAGTTTCATATCCTGAAAGCTGACCCGCATCAATGCGTGATGTTGCACACCAAGATGCTGATTATTGCCCTTTAGAGTTGTGACTTGTGTTATTTCGGCTCAAGTGATCACACCCTTTAATGTGATTACTAAAACAGCACTCTGACATTTTGGAACACGCTCTTGTTTGGTGTCTATCTTAGAAGTCTGATAAGCTTGATACCTAACTTATTCCTCTGCATGCAGTACAGAGATAAGACTAGGATGGATTTACTTTAGCATAGCATAAGGACTTGAAGGAAAAGTGACTAATACAGTAGGACCTTACCATATATTAGGCTGTTTACGGGGCAAGACTGGAACACCAATAAACACTATTTTGAGCAGGCTTCAAATTTCTGCATGTTCGTTCATAGTGTATATTCTTGAAATAATGGCTTCCTTTAATACAAACCTACTCTGTATGGACCATGTAAAACAGAACCAGTGTGGGTCTGTGTATTGCTTTGTGTGTTACAGAAAGCTGTGAGTGTGAGTGATGCAGTGCAGTTCTCTACAGCAGCCAGTCAACAGCTGACTGCAGGTCAACTATAAACAGGCCCGTTTGTATGTATATGAAGTAGACATCAGTGGTGCAGTGTCAGTGCTTGTTTTATACATCATCAATACTGCATCCACGTCTCTGAGCGTTGAGAAAATAAGGGTAGAGTGAGGCTGTAGGCAGTAGATAGTGAAAGAGGAAAAAAGACAGACTTTAACTTCAGTGAATATTGAAAAGCTTGCTAATGGAAATTTTAAGTAAACATCACCATGATACCCAGTGAGCAACCATTCCGCAGCAAGAAAACAAAGTGAACATCAGCTGTGAAGTATCCATGAGCAAGACGGAGTCCCCATCAGCCCCAGTGTGGTGCTACAGTATTTTCGTATCTGACCTATGACCTCCCTGTGGAATTAGTCTAAATATAGCAAAAATAAGAATCACACAGTAATTTTCCACAGCAGGAGCAGAGAGCTGGGAGCTTTGAACAAAACGTCTGTGAGCCAGGATTTAGCTTTAGTGGAGGCACCAAGAGGAAAATGCTGAATCATTCTGCTTCCTTACAGTCCTGGTGTGTTTCCAACTATAGCTCACTTAGCATTCAAACCACAGACAGGGGACATGTCCTTCCCAGCTGGGGACATACTCTATGTATTGCTGTGCACTTAGGAAAAGCTATGCATCTAATTATAAATGCACAATTATTTTAGGTAATGTTTTATTGACATTCTGATCGATGCCAAAACAGGCCTTTCTACATCAAAATGTCTGTTAGAGAAAGCTAAAACATGTTGGTTGCATAAACATGCACAGTCTGCAGTTCACTTAAGAGCTTTTTAGCCATTTGATAAAAGATGTTTGTATACATGGGCAAATAATCTCAATGCAAATGTCAAGTCAGAGGCAATCCCAAGAGCTTTACAGAGTGATACAACAGAAAATAAGTTCAGACATAGTTATTTGAGTTATCTTACTAGTCAAAACCAACAATGTCCTGAGTATATTCTTAAAGATGTAGGTGCAAACCTCACTGAATGAGCTATTACCAAATTTTCATTGGTTTCCTGTGATCTCAGTATTCTGTCAGGTTTATAAACTGCAACCATGTTGAAATAATTTGGGGTTAGACAAAAAAAAAATCTTTTTTGACAGAGGTTCTGAAGAAAAAGAAGTTGTTGTGTATCATCTGCATAACTGCTGTTTGTGTTTGCTCATGATAGAACCAAACAGAAGCATGTAAAGATTAAACAGAAGAGGTCTAAGAAAGGGTACTTGTGGGACACCATACAGTGTGCCATATTTACTAGAGATGAAATAACTGTAAGAAGCTGTAAGATTCTCTATTGAAAAGAGGATATGAACAACTGAACTGAAGCCAGTCAATTATGCTGTCTTACCACTTATTCAATGGGGTCATGGTTCTGGTTGTGTGTGTTGACTTTAAACAGATGAACAGACTTTATTAGAGCAGATATTTTTACAAAACCTTTTTTTTTCACAAAACTTTATGAACTTTCTTCATCCTCATTTACATATTTGAGGATACTTCATTTGTTTCAACTGAGATTTTGCTTGAAAAGTACTGACACAATGCACAGCAGGGTGCTGGGGCAAAGTGTGGCTGTGTCACGTTAATGTCAGGTTAATGGCTTTTCACAACAAAGTTTGGAAAGTGACTAGCTTATATTTAAAAGCAATGAAATCAGGGATAACTATGAGAAAAATGTAAATCACTGACACAGTGAATGGCTAAATTATGTAATTACCCTTCTGTTTGACAGCTGATAACAAAATATAAATGTGGTTTGAACATTATGTAGATGAATTTTGAAAATTATTATTAGTAATAATTATTAATTATTTCTCTTTCTCTTTCAGTCGGACAGCAACACCAGTTTCCTGCGAGCAGCAAGGGCAGGGAACATTGAAAAGGTTTTGGAATATCTGAAAGGTGGAGTGGATATCAGTACCTGCAATCAGGTACAGTAACCATACACACCTACTCGTACATCTACTTATATAGCTGGTAATGGAGAGTGTGAAGTTGTCGTCATGCCATGTTGAATTTTGGGAAAATGCACCATTTTGGAATGCTCATGCTCATTATTACACTATGTACATCTATAAATAAACTTTAAAATATAAATACTATCCCATACAGCCACATACAGTAGTGGATGCTTCAACTATGTCCAAACGTCCACTTTAGTGTTCAGTTTGAGCACAGACAGGACAGAAATGGATTGATCGGCAGTGTTTGTGTCATCTGCTGACAACTGCTAGCTAGCATTAGCTTCCAAAATGAGAGCTGAGATCAGGGTGCAGAGTGATTTTTCAGTCTGTCGCTCTCATCGGCGAGATCTGTAGATCCGCTATGTGTTAGCCACAGTGAGCAAAGGTTATCCATTCTGAAATATCACAGTCAGTAAAGTGAGTTCTAAATGATTTAAATAACTTTTTAGCCAAATAAAACAAGAATGTATCCAGGTAAATACAATGCCTGCCTACCAAAATGGCATCCCTGTCCCAACATTCAACACGGCGTGACGTACCCTCACATTCTCTATAATGCTGTGTGGATTTGTCACTGTGAGCGATACCTTTCACATTAAACATGCTCAGCTGATCCATCCATCCACACATTATCTATACCACTTATTGCTGAATAGGGTCGTGGGGTGCTGGGCCTAATCCCAGCTTGACACTGGGCAAGAGGCGGGGTTCACCCTGGACAGGTCACCAGCCTATCACAGGGCTGATACTTGGAGAGAGACAACCACACACACACACTCAATTTGGAGTCACAAACCAACTTAGGCTGTATGTCTTTGGACTGTGGGAGGAAGCCGGAGTACCCGGAGAGAACCCATGGAGGCTTAGGGAGAACATGCAAACTCCACACAGAAAGGCCCTGGGTTGGCCGGGGCTCGAGCCTGGAACCTTCAGTGCAATTTTAACTTACCTGTTAATGTCCAGGGGTTGTTGCTAACTAGCATGCATTATATTAAGTGCTAGTTTAAGATAGTTAACTTCATAATGATCTCTCATCTCTTGAATATTTTGAAAAGAGGACATTCTGGCTGATCCACGGTAATTCTATACATTCTGATTTTACCTGGTGGACAAACACGAATGTGCCTTTTAGAAAGCATGGTTGACATTTATTTGTTGTCATTATTCTAACAACACACAGAATGGATTATTTTAAGTGTGAATATGTGCTCATGTCGTCTACCATCACAAACATGTAAACAAACATAACATATGTGGTGACTTTAATATAGATTTGTTAAATCCTAACAAGCACACAGCAACTGAGGAGTTTATTAACACATTATATAGATGTAGTTTACACCCAAAAATTACAAAACCAAGTAGATTAACAACCCAGCATGCAACACTAATAGATAATATATTTACTAATGATATTGACAGCAAAATGTCTAGTGGATTACTTATAAATGATATCAGTGATCATTTACCTGTATTTTTGGTTTATGACTGCCATGTTAGAAATGAAAGGCCAAAAACAAATCTTTTTTATAGGAGGGTGATGAACGAACATGCTGTAAGGAGGCTAAAAGAGGACTTTATGGGGCAAGACTGGGATGCAGTTTACAAAGAGGAAGACTTAGACAAA